AATTTAAAGAACAATACAAATGAACAAACAACAGAAACGGACTCATAGATACAGAACACAGACTGATGGTTGCAAGAGGGGCAGGATTGGGGGCCGGGGTGAAAATCATGAAGGGATTAAGAAGTACAGACTGGTAGTTACAAAACAGCCATGGGGATGCAAAGGACAGCGTAGGAAATATAGTCGCTAATATTATAATAACTATATATAGTGCCCACTGGATACCAGAAATATCAGAGTGAACACTTTGTAATATTGGCTAACCACTATGCTGCTCAGCTGAAACCAATACAAATAGATGACTCAGTAATTAAATGATCAAAAACATCAGAACTCAGAACAATTACCTTAATTACCGAAGACAGATAAATCTTATATAAATATTATCACAGAAACCAAAAGGCAGAAACACGCCCCAACTCTAGGTATGAGGATAATAATAATCATACAATAATCATCATGACAATAATCATTACTATGTATAATGACCAAGTCAGGTAAGTATAGTACAAGAAAAGCCAGTATTATAAACGCAGACACATGCTAAGCAAATTATTAGCATACTGAATCTATCAAGAATAGAATTTAACATAAACAAAATGAGTTGTTTTTGTTTTTCTTTTTAAAAAGATTTTACTTATTTTTAGAGAGAGGAGGAAGTAGAGAGAAGAGGGAGAGAAGCGTCAATGCGTGAGAAAGACATCAATCCGTTGCCTCTTGCACGCCCCCAGGTGGGGACCTGACCAGGAATGAAACCTGCAACCTTTTGCTTTGCAGAACAACACCCAACCAATTGAGCCACACAGGTCAGGGCCCAAGCTGAGTTTTCTAAGGAATTCAAGGGTGTTTTAAGATTTCAGTCCCTTAATGTAATTCACCCTATTAACCAATTAAAGGATTAAAAAACAATTATCTTAGATGTAGAAGAAGCACTATTAAAAACTTACAACAATTTAAACATAAAAGGAAACTTCCTTAACCTGATTAAGGTTATCTATTAAATACCTCCAAACTGCAACAAACATTGTATTACAGAAAAACATTTCCTTTAAAATCTGGAACGATTTCCCCCACTATCATCGCTTTTATTCTGTATTGTAGTAGAGGTTCTAGCAAGTGCAGGGACACTAGATAAAGATGGCAAAGATACAGGACTTAGAAAGGTAATGGGCCCGGGCCAGATAGCTCAGTTGCTTAGAGTGTTGTTCTAATAGGCCAGGGTTGTGAGTTTGATCTCAGTCTGGGTACACACAAGAAGCAATCAATGAATGCACAATTAAATGGAACAGCAAATTCTCTTTCTCTCTTGCCCTCCCTCAAAAAAAATTAAGAAAAAATAAGAAAGGTAATAAAAAAAATCCATCATTCACAGATGATAGGGCTGTACATTAAAAAAGAATGTATAACACAAATATAACAATTTATTTCATTTCTACACACAATCAGTGGTTAGAAAATGTAATTTTAATAGTTAACAGCCCTGACTGGTGTGGCTCATTTGGCTGGGCTTTGTTAGTTGGACTTTGTACTGCAAATCAAAAAGGTCGCCAGTTCAGTTCCCAATCAGGGCACATGCCTGGGTTGAGGGGTCAGTCTCAGGTCAGGGTACATACAAGAAGCAATTATTGATGGATGTTGCTCACTCACATTGATGTTTTCCTCCCTCTCTTTCTCCCCCCACCCCTTCGCCTCTCTCTAAAAATAAATAAATAAATACCTACATAAGTAAATAAATAAATGTTTTAAAGTTACTAGATGTCACACCCAGATGATGGCTATAATAAAAAATTTAGACAGTAACAAGCGTTACCAAGGATGCAAAGAAATTGTAACTCTTATACATTGCTGCTGGGAATATAAAGTGGTACAGCTGCTTTGGAATACAGTTTGGCAATTCCTCAAAAATTTAAACATACAGCTCTTTCTTCTCAACGAGGTGGCAGAACAGATATTATCCGCTGGAGCAAAGGCAAGAGGTGTGGTCTGAGACGTTTAGGGGTAACTGCAAAGGAGACCGGACCGCCCCAGCACACTCACAGGCGCAGATCTTCATGAAGACCCTGCCTGGCAAGACCACCACCCTTGAGGTTGAACCCAGTGACGCCACTGAGAATGTCAGAGCTAAAATCCAAAACAAGGAGGGCATTCCGCCTGACCAGCAGCGTCTGATTTTTGCGGGCGAACGGCTGGAGGATGGCCGCACTCTCCCAGACTGCAACGTTCAGAAAGAGTCCACCCCGCACTGGGTGCCTCGTCTACAGGTGGCATCATCGAGCCTTCCCTCTGCCAGCTCGCCCGGAAGTACAACTGCGACAAGATGATCTGATGCAGCGGTACACCCGCATGCACCCCTGCGCTGTCAACGGCCAGAAGAAATGCAGACATGCCAACAAACTGCGCCCCCAAGGAGAAGGTTAAATAAGGTCTCTCCACATCCTCTGGCCTGCAGGGCAGCGTTCTTCCTGAACCCCGTGACCCCGGAGCCTCAATAAAGTTTCTCTTTCATTGACTGGAGCAAAAAATAAACAAATAAACACACATTATCATATGACTCAACAATTTCATTCTTAGGAATATATCCAAGAGAAACGAAAACATATGTTCACATAAAAACCATACTCAGCTGTTCACAGCAAAAGTAGTCATAGCAGCAAAAAAATGAAAACATCTCAATGTCCATCAACTGATGAATACACAAATTTTGGTATATTCATACAGTGGCATGTTATCCAGCCATAAAAAGAAATGTAGTACTGATACATGCCAAAGAATTATGCTAAGTGAAATAGACCAGACACAAAGTCCACATATTATATGAGTCCATTTATATGTAAAATGTCCAGAATAGACAAAAAGTGGGTCAGTGGTTGAAATTAAACTATAAACAATAAAATTAAACTATAAATAAATAACAGAAAGATAGCTGGAAAACCCAAAAATACACAGAGATTTAAAGTGAATTGAATAATAGTATTGCACCAGTGTTAAATTTCCTGATCTCGATAAATGCATGATGGTTAATCAGAGACTGTCCCTTTTCTTACCAAATGCACACTAAAGTATATTTAAGGGTATAGGAAAACAGCATCTGCCATTCTCAGGTGATTCAGAAAAAAGTATAAAAACAGAGTACAAATAAATAATAGCGCAAGTGTGACAAAAAGCAAACAAGTGGTGAGTCTCAGTAAAGGCTATTAGACAGTTCTTTGTGCTATTCTTGCTTCTTTTTTTATAATTTTGAAATTATATCTAAATAAAAAGTTATAAAAACAACTATAGATTAAAGAACCTAGGCAGTGGGCATATGACCATTCACTGAGAAATTTTTTATCTTTGCTTTAGGTTTGAAATTTTTCATAATAAAATGTTGGAAAAGTTAACATTCATTAACATGTACAGTAAAACCAAAATGATTAGGTAGCTAAAAACAAATATAACAAAAGATTACAGGCCTTATATAGAAAAAAACCTGAAAACATTTTAAAAAGACATTAAGAATACCTAATTAAATGGAATGGTATACTTTATGCTTGAATAGGAAGATATCATAAAGATGTCAATTCTATCTGCAAAACTGGAAAAAAATACCCCAGGGAATAATAAACCCTAGTATGACTTTTGAGACAATTAAAAAGTTCATTCTAAAAGACCCAGGAATAGCCAGGACAATCCTATGGAAGAAAAATATGTTGGAGGGAATTGCCATCCAAAAATCAAAGTTTATTCTGAAGCTAGAGTATAATTAGTGTTACATTTGTGCAAGAAAATTCTAAGTGACCTGTGGAACAGAATAGAAAACCCAGACATGTGTTTTTGGCCTCCCTCTTCTATTCACTTTGAAATTTTCTGTTTTTTTGAGTATCGCTGTACCAATAGCGCATTGGTTTTAGTATTGTTCAGGTTCATAAATTGGGTGGTGGATTCCCAGGTGTTCATTTCATTATTAAACTCTATAACTTACATTACATATATTCTTTTATATGCAGCCAGTATTTCTGTAAATTAATTATTTGCAAGTAAATGGCAGAAAAATGGTTGGCCTCTAGGAAGCCTTGATCCCAGAATCTGAATGCCTCTGTCATCTACTTTATTTCTATTTCCTATTCCTCTTCTCTCTGTATGTTGATTTTATTTTCTCAGGCCTCCTGTCCTCAAAAGGCTGGAACTAGGGTGAAAAGTTCTTCTGTGGCAGCCCTGGTTTAAAAAATGCTGGAGAAATATTCCAGTTGGTTACAGTGATACCAAATGTAGTCGTGTCTAAACCAATCAGTGTCACCAGGAGAATGGAATTCTGTGAATGGAACAGTTGGCTCATCTGCCCACCAGCAGTCGAGGGCATAATGTCTGTTACTAGAAAAGTGGGAGCAGTATGTGAGCCACACAAAATATTCAGCCACCGCATGTGACAGCTGCATCTCTGAGACTGGCTGATAGGAGCTTTTCTATGGATAACTCTTGCCATAATCTGTCCTTTAATAGTTCCTGAAGTGTTGCCTTGCATTTTTCTTTTTTTCTTTTTCTGTATCAAGGAACCACTTTATGTTCAGGAATTAGCAGCGAAATTATGGGAGTACATAGATTAAAATGTGTTTTATTTTTCTGTGTACCCTCCTTTGAGATTTAGCATCTCATTATAAAATTAAATAAAATTATTCACAACTTACAACATAAGAAAGATTGACCTCAGACTATACCTCTTTAGTCCTTGACAATATCTTTATTTTGTAAAATTGATAGCTCCTATTGTGAGACCTTCAAGAGTATAAAGACAGCAAAAATCACCTAAAATTCCTACTATCTAGAGATTACTGCTATCAACATTTTGGTGAATGTTCTTTCACAATCTTCCTAGGTATACATACACACATATATGGATACAATTTTGCATAATTGTTGAATCAGTCACTTTGGAAAGAAAACCTATTCAACATCAACATTTAATATATCACTGTCAAAATATCTGCTCTCCCAAATAACTTATTGTATTTTTTTGTTAACAGGTAGTGCTACAAGTATGTTAAAGGAAGCAGAAGTGCATTATATTTCTCGAAACATTTGTAATTCTGAGATGAGTTATGGGTCTATAATTCCCATAACTTCGTTTTGTGCAGGTGATGAAGATGGAGTTTTTGATACTTGCAGGGTAAGACCAAATATTTTCTGAAGCAAGAGGGAACTTGAACAAGGCCTTTAATCATTTTTCTGGTGAAGTCCTAATTATCAAGTCTAAAAGTACTAAATTATTTTTTCTCATTTTTAACTATGCCAACAATCCAAATCTTCTTGCTTTCCTGATTTGCATTAAATCTTTCTTCCTCTTTTTTCATTACCACCTTCATTGGGACATAATTTACATATACACAATTCACCCATGTAACGTGTACAATTCAATGGGGTTTTAGCATATTTACAGAGTAACGCAACTATCACCATAATCTAATTTTAGAACATTTTCATCACCCCACAAAGAAACCTCTACCTGTTACAATCGCTCCCCATTCTCCTCCCACCCACCCCCAGCCTTAGGCAACCACTAATCTTTATAGATTTGCCTATTCTGGAAATTTCATATGAATGTTATCCTTCCATATGTGGTCTTTCATGACTGATTTCTTTCACTTAGCGTGTTTTCAAGGCTCATCCACATTGTCACATGTATCAATATTTATTTTACTGCCAAGTAATATACCATTGTATGAATACATCACATTTTACATATGCGTTCATTAGTTGATGGATATTTGAGTTATTTCCACTTTTTAGCTATTATGAATAATGTTGCTGTAAACATTTGTATATATGTTTTTATGTGTCGGTATGTTTTTCACTTAGAAATGTCACCCAGGGGTGGAATTGCTGAGTCAATGTTTAACATTTTGAAGAACTGCCCCATTGTATTTCCAAAGCGGCTGTGCCATTTTACGTTCTCACCAGTTGTGTATGAGGGCTCTAGTTTCTCCACATCCTGTCAGCATTTATTGTCTGTGTTCTTTATTACAGCTGTCCTTGTGTGAAGTGTCATCTCATTGTGGTTTTAATTTGCATTGCCCTAATGACTGCTAATGTTGAGCACATTTGGTGTGTCTATTAGCCATTTGTATATCTTCTTTGGAGAAATGTCTCTTCAGATCCTTTGCCCATTTAAAAATCGAGTTATCTTTTTTATTACGGAGTCATAAGCATTCTTTATAAATTATGGCTACAATTTTCTCCCATTCTGTGCACTGTCTTTTCACTTCCCTGATGTTATTGTTTGTAGCACAAAAGTTTGGATTTTTTTATGAAATCCAGTTTATATATTTTTTGTTTTGAATCTTTTTTTATTCCTCTTTTCTTCAGGGCTTCTCAATCCATCAGCACCTCACTCCAAAGCAGTACCTCATGCTCTGATCTTTTCCTGCTCATTCTGATTTCCAGAAATCCAGAGTTTATCTTTCCTGTGTCCTTTTCCTTAAAAACCTTGCTGAATAAAATAGCAAAGAATCCAATCTAACTGAACTGCATTCATAAGCAGAACATTCTCATTGTCAAAAAAAAATAATAATCATTGAAGGCCTACCATATAGAGAGAATTTGAGAACATCTTAGAAACAGGCTTTAACTTGAAGGCACTGTGACCGTTAGTTCAGAGTCCTTATTGTTTTGAGTGATTAATATCCTTGGTAATAGCGTTTTGGTTGCTACATTGACAGTCTGGTATAAACTACCATGGAGATTTGCCATTTATAATACTGTTAAGAGGATTACCCACTTATTCCTAATATCCTGCACCAGCCAATGTCGACCCTTAGAAAGATGCCATTTCTTTCAAGATTCAGTTTACTCCTCTCCTCTACCTAGCAAACCACACGCACCTAAAAGACTCCTTTACGTAAAAGTTATACCTTTCACAAACCACATTTAGCAACAGAAGTACTCTAATAAACAATGTTTACAATATTTGCACACATCCCAAATTATATTTCTCCTGAACACTGTACTAAAGATTCCAAACAATTTCATTTATAGTATCCTGGTTCAAAACTGTGCAGATGGTAAGTTTGTCCACCAGCTATACTGTTCCTCTAAATACCAGGCCAGACTGAATGTAACTGAATTCCTGTTTGCGATGGAATGTAAAACTGAAAATCCATTACCTTAATAACTCAGAAATATATTGAAAATGCATATTTATACAAATGTATGTTTAGTGACTAATTTATTCCAACTTTACTATTATATAGACTATTAAAAGTAACTAACACTATTCTGGGACTTTTTTATAGGGTGATAGTGGTGGACCATTAATGTGCTACTTTCCAGAACATAAACGATTTTTTGTAACGGGAATTACCAGTTACGGATATGGCTGTGGTCGAAAAAATTTTCCTGGTGTCTATAGTGGGCCATTCTTCTACAAAACATGGCTGACAGGCCACCTCAACAAGGCAATCAATAAAGGCATATTTAATATAAATATTCTACTCGGACATGTCCTCATCGCCTTATGTTCTGTTATCTTACTAGCAACTCCATAAAAAAATTCTGAAGAATCTTTGTTTTTCATCATGTCCCTTTCCATGTTCTACATAATGAAAATAATTTATTCTTTGGGCAAGTTATTGCCCACTTTTGAGTTCACATGTGAACACTTTTGCGGGAATAAAAGACTGATATTTGAGGTATGTGATTGTAAATTTGGCACTGAATCACATGCATCCTTGATGTATTTTTATTGCTTTACTTTATAATCAATACTTTCCTAGAGCTTGTGTAAAATATTCAGTTTAAATACATATGCTTTACGTATGCACATGCCAAATAATAAAGAGTTTGTAATTAAAGTGGAAGTTGTTCTTACACTCACAACCCATAGACATGAACTAAGTGGGGGGACTGCTGGAGGGAAGGGTGATACTGGGTAGAGGGGGGCAAAGGGGAAAAATTGGGACAACAGTAACAGCATAATCAATAAAATACACTTCAACAGAGAAAAAAATGGAAGTTGTTCTTTTGTTAATCAAATTTAATCAAGACTCTTTCCTTTTAAAGTTAGATTTTAGGAGCATTTTCTCAATCTGTTGAGATTTTGTTTCCTGGCAATAGTCGTCAGTTTGGCTGAAATAAACACACAAAATTAAAAAAAGAGGCCCTGGCCAATGTGACTCAGTTCGTTGGAGTAGCAGCCCATAAACCAAAATGTTGCCAGTTCGATTCCCGGTCAGGGCACATGGCTAGGTTGTGGGTTCAGTCCCTGGTCAGGGCTAATATGAGAGACGACCAATCGATATTTCTCTCTCACTTCAGTGCTTCTCTCCCTCTCTCCCTGCCTTCCCCTCTCTGTAAAATCAACAAGCATGCCCTTGGGTGAGGATAATAAATAAATTAAAAGATATAAAGTTAGATTGTATTCTATTTAAAAGCATTTGTATGTTATTTTTTGAATTATCATCTGATTCTCAAAAAATATTTGGACAAGTACCTGTTATTTAAATTCTAATTAAAACTAATTAATTTTAATTCTTCCTTTCCTATGTCAAGAAAGAACTGTGGTGCAGGCACACCCAAAGAATTTACTTTTTATTTTGAAATGTGTAATATGATGAGGCTGGGACTTCCAGTCAAGATGGAGGCATACATAAACATATTTCTCCTCCTTGCACAACTACAGAAAAAATTACAAGACCTCAAAACAAATAACACCCAAAACCAACAGAAAATGGAGCTGTATGGAAGTCCAATAACCAAGGATTTAAAGAATCCACTTTCATCCAGACAGGGAGGAGGGGCAGAGACGTGGAGATAGGCGGAGAGATAGTAGAATGGGTAGTCCCGCATTCACAGGTGTTGGATCAAAATCAAGAGGGATACCTGGGGAGCAGAGGAACCAGCCCCAGGCCAGACTCCACTGCCCAGGATTCCAGCGCCAGGAAGATAAATCCCCATAACTTATGGCTATAAAAACCAGTGGGGGTTGGGGTGGTGGAAAAACTGCTGGATTTTTCAGGAGATTCCACTTAAAGGGCCTGCATGGACTTAGAACTTACGCACACCTACCCTGTCTGGATTCAGCACCAGGGCAACAGCTGAAAGGGCATCAGTAGCATACAGGGAGTAAGGGAAGTGACTGGACACAGGGCAAGGGCCGGGCAAACCTCCAGAAGCCAGGCAATGGCACTGTTCCCTCTCTGAGCCCTCTTACCCCACAGAGCCACAGAGCAGGGAAGTGGGTTGCCGCACCCTGGTGATTAACTAAGGTTCTACTCCACACAACTTACGGGCCCCTTTTCTACAATAGGCCACGCTACTAAGACAGGGAGTCAAAGCAGCTCTACCTAATACACAGAAACAAACACAGGAAGGCTGAAAAGTTGAGAAAACAAAGAAATATGGTCAAAATGAAAAAAACAGAACAAAACCCCAGGAAAAGAACTAAACGAAACGGAGTTATCCAACCTATCAAATGCAGAGTTCAAAACACTGGTGACCAGGATGCTCTAAGAACTCATCGAGCACAGCAAGAGCATTAAAAATAAGTAAGTAAGTAAGTAAATAAATAAATATTAAGTCTTCCAGTCAAGATAGAGGTGTAGGTAGATACACTTTGCCTCCTCACACAGACAAAAGAAGGACAACAACAAATTTAAAAATAAAAAATAACAAACGAAAAAACACAGAACTGCCAGAAAATCGAACTGTATGGAAGTCCGACAACCAAGAAGTTAAGAAACACTCATTCAGACCAGTAGGAGGGGCGGAGATGGGCAGCCAGGGTGGAGAGGAATGAGCGGCAAGGCTACAGCTGGAAGACCAGGCAGCTGAGGCGGCAGCTGGCATATCAAGTGGTCCCACATTTGTGTGCAGATAAAGCGTAAGGAACAGCAAGGAGTGAGACAGATCATGCAATCCAGTTTTCCAGTGCAGGAAAAGAAAGTCTCAAAACCTCTGAAGGTAAAAACCTGTGGGGGTTGCAGCAAGAAGAGAAACTCCCAGCCTCACAGGAGAGTGTATTGGAGAGACCCACAGGGTCCTAGAATGTACGCAAACCTACCCACCTGAGAATCAGCACTAAAAGGGCCTAATTTGTTTGTGGGTAGCAGGGAAAGTGGCTGAAAGCTGGCAAAGAGCCCAGCAAGTGGCATTGTTTCCCCTCGGACACCTCCTCCACAGACAGCGTCACAACTCAGTGACCTGGGTTGCCCTGCTCTGGTGAATAACTAAGGCTCTGTCCCTTTCAACATAACAGGTGTGCTGAGACAAAGAAATATGAAAAATGAAAAGAACAGATCAAAGTTCCAAAAATAGAACTAAGCAATCAACAGAGAGCCAACCTATCAGATGCACAGTTCAAAACACTGGTAATCTGGATGTTCACTGGATCGGTTGAGTATGGTCACAAAATGTAGGAAAAGGCAAAGGCTACACAAAGTGAAATAAAGAAAAATAGACTGGGAATCAACAGTAAAGGGAAGGAAACTGGGACTCAAATCAACGATTTGAAGCAGAAGGAAGAGATAAATATTCAACCAGAACAGAATGATGAAACAAGAATTCAGAAAAATGAGGAGAGGCTTAGGAACCTCTGGGACAACTTTAAACGTTCCAACATCCAAATCACAGGGGAGCCAGAAGGAGAAGAGGAAGAGCAAGAAATTGAAAACTTGTTTGAAAAAATAATGGAGAACTTCCCCAATCTGGCCAAGGAAATAGATGTCCAGGAGATCCAGGAAGCTCAGAGAGTCTCAAAGAAGTTGGACCCAGGGAAGCACCCACCAAGGCACATCATAATTAAGTTACCTAAGATTAAAGATAAGGAGAGAATCTTAAAAGCAGCAAAAGAAAAGGAGACAGTTACCTACAAAGGAGTTCCCATAAGACTATGAGCTGATTTCTCAAAAGAAACCTTGCAGGGAAGAAGGGGCTGGAAGAAGTTTCCAAAGTCATGAAAAGCAAGGACCTACATCCCAGATTACTCTATCCAGCAAAGCTATCATTTAGAATGGAAGGGCAGATAAAGTGCTTCCCAGACAAGGTAAAGCTAAAGGAGTTCATCATCACCAAGCCCTAATTATATGAAATGTTAAAGGGACTTAACTAAGAAAAAGAAGATCAGCTATAAACATTAAAATGGCAACAAATTCACAACTGCATCTAAAACAAAAACAAAAACAAACTATGCAAACAACCAGAACAGGAACAGAATCATAGACATGGAGATTATTTGGAGGGTTATCAGCTGGGAGGGGGAAGGAAAGAAGCGGGGGGCGGGGGGGGGAGATGCAGGGATTAAGAAGCATAATTTGTAGGAACAAAATAAAGGGGACGATATTAAGAATAGTATAGCAAATGGAGAAGCCAACGAACTTATATGCACAACCCACAGAAATGAACTAAGGTTGGGAATCCTGGAGGGCATGGGGCTACTGGGCAGAGGGGGGCAAACAGGGGAAATTGGGACAAGTGTAATAGGATAATCAATAAAATAAATTTAAAAAGAAATGTGTAATATGACTTTTGCAGCATTATAATCTATCTGAAGCTTATTTTCTTGAAGTCCATAAAAGTTTGTATTCCTTGGGCCTTCAGAATTAACTGTGAGATGGGGAAACTGAAAAGCATTCTGGGTAAAAGAAGGAAGCTAATCTGAAATAAATTTTATGATGACCAATCTATAAAATGAATTATCAAATGAAAAAGTTCACTGAATTAATATATACTATTAATTAACTGACATCTCACTTCAACTTTGAAGAACCCATGCAGTAAAGGAGAAATATTTTATCTTCCTTTTTACATTTAACCAGGTAAAACCAAGTGTTTTTTTATTGTTGTTGCTTTGTATGTTTTACTTTGCTTTGCTTTGCTTTGCCTTGCCCTAATTTCAGGATTTAATTGAAAATAAGCATGAGTTTTCTATTAAATCCTTTCAGGATCATTACTGGTTTAACACAAGGGGTCAAAGACTGATTTTTATAGACTTGTGAGCAATACTGAGGGAGTATTGACTGTTCTTTCCTGAATAAACCTTAGATTATCCATTGACAAGGTCTTATAAGTTGTAATGCTTGCATAGCAATCACCATAATGCATTAATCCTTTCCTATTAATATTACCTGAGCATTATTCAGACTTATTTGACAGTCCTGAATATTAATACAGATGCTCTCAACTTCCAATGTATATGTGACAAACACATAGTAAATCAAGGAGCCTCTGTAATTGCCTTCCTCTTCTTCTCACCAGAAGCAAGAGAATCAGATGGGCATTTTGTAGACATGATGGAATTCATAGACAGAAAACACAATATCCTAAAAAAAACACTAGCAACACAGTACACAGTAGAGTGTTGATTTTTGCCTCCTGATCAGGTGGCTGAGTGGGCGCTGCAGCTGCCCAGCATCAGAAGAGAGTGTCGTACTGCATATCACTAGTCTGGAAAAAGATAAAAATTCAAAGTACAGTTTCTGTGTTGCATTCACACCATCATAAAGTCAAAAAATCTTAAGTCCAACTGTCAGAAGTCAGGACATCTGTACTA